GGCTTTCCACGATCAATGTCACGAGTGGAATGAGTGCTGAAGACGCTGATTGTGGAAAATAAAAACATCCGGTTGCGTGACTTGTTCCCATACGACTTCCATATTGCAAAAATCGAAGCCAAAGTTTCTTCTAAATTCTCTTCTAGTTATTCATTACTTGCTATTGATTACAGTCTGAAGAAGAATCTGTCAGGATTGGCGTCACAAGGAGAGAGGGTCGTTGGTACTCAGCGTCACATTTTGCTCTGAGAAAAATCCAAGTTCCAGCCCTTTCCGTGTAGCGTGATCCTAGCCGCTTTTCTACAGAGCTATCTGGGTTTCTAGGGCACAAATATATTACCTCGAACATGAGGAGGGAATTGGCAACAGGGGTTCAGCCAAAATCAACAGATATCGGAGGAATCAGGAGAAATCTAATCATTTTTCCGGACCCTGAAGGCCACCCTGAAAAGTTCTGATCGTCACCTTGCCGGACCGGACTTCGAAAAATGATGGTGACATAAAAATTGTTGCACGATTATTGAAGAGACGTTCGTCTCCCTTTTCTTCTTACCATACCTGCTTCGTCAACGTTCCCACCCACCTTCCATCCAAAACCTATATAAACCATCCTCGTCGCTGATAATCTCCCCAGCTACATTGCCTTGTCTCGACTCGTTCAGGTTTCGGACAAACCATCACTCAGGAGTCACTTGCAACCTTTGCATGTACTCGAACCAACTCTGCAGCTCCCACAATTCTCATAGAGGCAGTAAACACTCGACCGCAGGATTTCTTATCTGTTTTTGATTTCCCCCCTTACACCTTCGGAACTTCATCTCTACAACCTAACCATGGCCCCCAACTTCAACAAAAACACCTCTGGCTACAATACCCCTGAGTCCGAACTCGAATCGGTCTTGCCAGTTCACCCAACTGCGGCCCGCCGCCCTCACGCCATTACTGTTCAGTCGGAGAACACCCTCTATACCGACGAGCACATCACCGCCAAGTTCTTCAACCGAGGTGCTGAGGTCAATGTCACGAATGGTCAGTTCAACATCACCCCCACCGTCCAGGAATACGAATTCCAAACCAAGCGGACTCCGGGAAAGACTGGGTAAGCATCACCTTTTTTTTTTTTTTTTTTTTTTTTTTGACCAGAGTTTTAACCTTTGATGCGATGTTTCC